AAAAATTATTTCTTGCAGAATAAATATATTGAGATTATTATTTTGAAGTAGACAATAGAAAGATTTTAAATTAGTTTTAAACTATCGCTTTCTTACTACTATTATTCGAAAAAAAAACATATTTCTACAATTTGCTGAATGAAGATCATGAAGCAAGAAATACATAATACTGTTGTTGTACGTTGATGATCTAAAATGATATATTATATAAACCGACATTATTGAATAAGTTCACGATTTACATATTGATATATGTAAGAAAAATGGTAGTTGAAATTCAATACTAATAACCGACTATAGGAGGGAATTCATTTGTAAATAATCGCTTATCATCTTAAGCCTACAATGTTACGAATAGATTTTTACTCATAATTATGAATTCATCATCATTGCCTAGAGGAGAATTTTTGTAACATTTCATACCTTTGTACTAAGTCGAAAGAAAAATTTCAGTTAAAATGAAGCATTACAATACTGTTATAGAAGGTCTATGCTGCTAGAAATGATAAAATACTTGTCTAGTTTCTGTTCATATCTGATCTCCAGGCAAGATTTCAAGTTGCTTCATCAATCAAATATAAGATGTAGTAAGTCTCATAACTGATGTAAAATCATGACCATAAATATTAATAAGTTTTCAGTTTTTTTATTAGAAATAACATGCATTATTCAATGTCAGTGTCAGCAATACACAACTTTATTCATCAATATTATAAATAACCTTTGATTTTTTCAGTTTTCACTGTATTTATCAGGCAGTAATGTTTTATGTGAGATTACCATTGAGTTGTTTTCTTTTACATCTGGCTCTTGCTAACTTGCAAATCAATCTGCATTACACAGATTGGGTAAGTGACAATAATCATGTATTGCAACACGATTGTTTGCGTGTACATGCTTCACTTGATAAAGGGTATATTAACCGTGAATTGATAACTTATTGTATGGATGATCTACCATCGAAATTTCATATGGAAAATAATCATATTTTTCCGAAGTTTACTTTTGCGGAACTTGCGAAAGAGAATATTACTAGTTATCAATTATATCTTTGGTCAGCACCAATTGACGTGGCAGAGCGTTATCAACTCTACCTAAATCAAATGTCAACATCAAATCATCGATCTTTGGAAAGAGAAATTTTCTATAATTGTACATTGCCAAGATTTGGTTCGTTATGTCAATATGAAATTAACTATGTTCATAAAAACTATTCATCTCTATATGATATGATCAATGATTACTATGAAGAGCGATACTTCAGTCCTGATGTAAATTGTTATACTCATTTACAATGTAATCGTGGTCCATCACCAGCTTGTTTGCATTGGACAGAGATTTGTGATGGTCAAGTTGATTGCATCGATGATAAAATGGATGAAAAAGATTGTTGGAAAATTGAAATTCATGTATGTCAAGATGATGAATTCCTATGTTCGAATGGACAATGTATACCTATGGCTTTTTATCATGATGATGATACTACTACTGATGATTGTGCTGACTTGACAGATGAACGTTCGCCACAACGAAGAGAATCGTTGAGCTTCATTTATAAACAGCCATCATTTATAAATGAAGAGAATCAATTTCGTCCACTACCCATCGGAAATCTTAATTTCGGTATGCGTCGAAGCCATTTATTTCAAGCTTTATTTTTGGCTAAAGATAACTCTACATCCGAAGATTGTTGGTCAGCCCTTAGATCTACAATCCAACAATCAATATATGAAAAGCCACTTTTTAATAAGACATGCGTGGAACAAGAGTGTTTTGAAACCATTGAGAAAGAATGTCCAGATATTTTTTATTTCCCTACGGTTCCAGTCTTTTCTAATAACATTCGACTGGCATTCAACAAAACCGAAATGTCAATCCGCAAGCGTCTATACTATAGAGCAGCTTTCATATGTTACAACAGTTCTGATTATGAGTACTATGTTCCTCCTGGTGAAAATTTTTTATTCAATAATGCAACCTGTTTCCGTCCTGGTTTCATAAAGATTCCTAATATGATGAAATACACACTGGAAGAAGAATATCTGTCTCCTTTGTATGAATTCATATATGAAATGAAACCATACTTTTTAATTTATAACTATACTTCTGAAATGTGTAATAGATCTAACATGTATCATTGTATCAACTCTTCAAAATGTATCTCAATGAATCGTCTGATGGATAATAGAGTGGACTGTCCAAAAGATGATGACGAAAATCTAACGCATATTATGGATGCTGGCTGGACAGACGTTTTAAAAAAACTTTATAAATGCAAGACGGTTAACAAATATATTCATCAATCGCTTGTTAAAGATGCATTCTGTGACTGTAAAGACACGGATTACGGTTTCTGTGAAGACGAAGATGAAAATATTGCT